TGCAAAGACAGCGTAGGCAAACCTATCTCGATGCTGAATAGCCTTCCAATTCATCCATAGACATATTTTTCAATTGAAGTAAGTAGGCAGTGGCCAGTGGCCAGTGGCCACATGCCTAATGTATATGTGAGTTCATCATTTGCGCTGTGTGGTATGCGAATAATGGCTATAAAAATAACCACACTTCTAATCAGAATAATGAAAATTGCATGTAAACAGGAGTGAAAAGGTTTGCTTGTGTCATGTAAACATCTTACTGTGATTAGGTCCTTACTCTGATTACGGGAAATAATCATATTATCGGTGCACATGAGAAGATTCGCCAGTGTAGAGAAACTTGGCACTGAACAAAAACTCTAGCGTTTTGGGCAGTGAGTGGATTCTAACTTTAACACCTCTGATTGACCATTGTGTTCAAGAAATCAAGACATATGAATGTGATTGGCTGCATTGCACAACGCGGCAAAAAGACTTTGAAAATAGAAACCTCCAACACAAATACACTCTGGAGTATCTGTTTTGCCAATATCAGATGGGGCCCTGTGATTCCCTGGGGCTCTAAGCAGCTGCTTACCTCACTTATTGGTTAGGTCCTCCCCTGCTCATGTATATGTATAGTTTTCAGCCTTTATAACATTTTTGGAACGGATTATGACATGATCATGAAAACTTTGAAATGGTCCTAAAATCTTTTCAAATGCTAAATGTTGTCTTCTATGAGCTTCTTATACAAAACGCTGAGAGTGTGGGCCACTTTTGATGAGGATTCCTGTCTGACTCATATTAAATGAGTCACTTGACCCAGAGAAAAGGACAATGAAAGAGCAAGAGAGTGTGTACAGGAGTACTAGTGTGTCCTTCAGACCATAAAGTGCTGCACATTTGGCCTCTTTATTGCATTTAAACCACTTTGGTTCTTGAATTTCCATATAAATGCTATCACTCAGAATCTCTTCTACCAATTATCCTCTTGGAACACAACAGGGGGATTTGTTTAGACACCATTTAAAATGTTCCTCGAGGATTGTTCTCATCAGCTTAAGCGGAAACAGCTCGGCTTCTATTTCTGGCTCATGCTTTTGAAGTAGCGCGCAGAGATTGGAAGATAAAAATAACTCACCAGTGCTTCAGTGACGGTAAAATTAACAGCACACAGATTTCCGTATGCCTCAAAGAGGAAATAAAGATGACAGAAAGTCAGTAAAAACACTGTGTGTTTAGGAACTACATAATGGCACATATAAGCCTCTTTCATTTCCTACCATTCTGAGGTCTGTGTGGGAATCAAGTCAAAAACAACAGCCATAAATTCTAACACTTTACTCCTGCGATGGGATGAACTACTGCCAAAGCCACACTGTCGACTTTGTGTTGAGTAATTCAATAGCTGGACATAAACACTTAACACAGCCTTAAATCTTCATCCCAGACAAACTAACTCAAGAAAAACAAAGAACTTAACGTTCACCAAATGCCATCACAGACCTCTTCATCTCTTGTTTTATTTTTCAGTCCCACTTTATATTAAGTGGTCTTAACTACTATGGATTTAAGTACAATGTACTTATTTTGTTCATATTGTATTGCAAATCACTTTTGCTGCTATTGAGGCGGGATATCATACGGGTGAGGTTAGGGACAGGTTTGGTGGTTAAGGTGTAAGCGAAGGTTCAACAGTGTAAGTATAAATGTAATTACAGAAATTAATTACAAATGTAATCACATGCAGGCATTTGTTAAAATATAAGTACAATGTAAAACATGTATGTACACAATAAGTGCATTCTACCAAATGATTAATTTAAATGTAAGTACAAAGTAGTTAAGGCAACATTTCGCCACAAATTCCTTTGAGATTTTCCTATGGGTTTTTTTTTTTCAATTCCTGAGCAATATAAGGTCTGTGGTAAACATAACTTGACGATAATTAGACGTTTTGTTGCACTACATAAACTGAATGTAGTGAATGTAAACGAATGAATTAAATGTGACCATAAATGAATGTTTTGGGAACTAATTGTTAATTCACGGCCATTATATCTTATTTTTATTCTGCATGTGATGATTTCTACACCAAACTTTCTCAGTGTTGAGGGGACAGACACTTTTATTTTCATACTTCACGACTTTGACCATATTTTATTTTTCCAATCTTATATTTGGCCAACTGTCCAGTTTCGATTTATAAATCACGTTTGGTGTTAATTTCAAATCCAGCTTAGCCACTAATAAACCCGCTGTTCCAAAGCCATATCATTTTGTTCTATTTGGAACTTGTAGAGCACAAGATGGATACTTTTATGATGCTTTTTTTAGTATGCCTACATTCTTTAAAACATCTCTTTTTGTGCTCCAGTCAGTCATGCCGGTTTGGATCGACATGATGGTGAGCAAACGATGACAGAATACTCATTTTAAGGCAAACATGAACGCAGACAAGAATCAAAAGAGCGTGTCACAAACACTATATCATATGCCAGCGCAGGAAGCACAGGGCATGAATCATAGCCTGAAGGGGGGTTAGCAAGCTGACTCAATAACATTGATTTTCCCTCTTCACCAAACCAGCAGCCTGCACTGCTTTACGCTGATCCATCCGACACTGATGATGCAAGCGCTGCTCCCGAGTGGAAATCAAACTGGGCCGGGTTCTGTGTCTACTGTGATATTTATACATCCATAATGGACGTGGATGACTTGTTCTTCTTTGCTAATGAGGACATCTTTTGGTTGACAGAATGGAGGGTCCGGTTAATGCAAAGGGTGGAGGAACAATGCTTTGGAAACACGTCAGGCAGACCCTCCTATACTAAACACACAAGTTCGAGACGCTTAACCACATCACGTCATGAAACAGGGTAACTGATACCTCTCAGAGAACCAGCATCGCTCCTTTCAGTTCATCTGCGTGAAGCTGAAAGCTGTTTTGCGTTAAAGAGCAGCTAAAGGGGACAGAAGCTCAGATGTTTGTGGGCACCGACACATCAAAACACTAATGAATCATAGCTTGTGGGAATGGCTTAAAGAGATGGGGCTCTCCCTCCCTTCAGTTTCTTTCTCTCTTCCTCCTAATTAAACTCGCATTAAGTCCATCTTTGTTCACTGCTTAGCTCACAGCTTTGATGCTGACAACTGAGGGCAGTGACAGCATTGATCAGTGGCCCAGTGAGGTCAGCTGCTGTTATAACACACAGACAGAAACGGAAGCAACACTGGCACAATACCAGACCTGACAATTTAATGCAAAGGAGCCAGTTTATCTAAATATTCTAACAGAATATTTCAATTAATGTTAACAGGTATACACCCAAGTAACGCACTTTTACAACAGAGCACAGCAGTAAGGCTGCAGAAGACAAGATGTCATTATTTTTCAGTCTATTCAGGGGTCAAACACCTTTAGATCAATGAACTGCCGTGCCTTTTCTAGTGGTTTGTGAATCATTTTAAAGAGACAAAAGCTAACCTTCAACCAGCTAACTAACTAAATAGACAAAATTCCTTTGAAATCCATGACTTTTCAAGAATTTAAGGTTGTCACTGTTATTTACAGGCTGCAATTTAGATCATTTTAAAGAGACAAATAACAAATAAAAAAAGAAAGAAATGAATATCTTTGAAATCCATTACTTCAAGACCTTTAAAATGGTATGGTTGAAACTAGATTAAAACGTTTGTCAAGACAAATTTTAAGTTGGCTTGAGAAAGCCGGACCAAAAAGTTTAAAGAGGTGGTTCACTGGGTTTTTTCTAGGCTTGATTGTGTTTATGGGGTGCAGTCTAACATGTGTTAATGCTTCGTTTAAAAAAAAAACACATTATTTTTCACATAATTTACCTTTATTCCACACCTCTCTGTCCCTTCTCTGAGAAACGGGCTGATCTTTTCCTTCTTTTATGAAGCCCCTCCCTCAGAAATAGGCGATGGGCTCTGATTGGTTAGCTAGTCCAGTGTGTTGTGATTGGCTCAACCGTCTCTAGTGCGCGTCTAAACGTCCCACCCCTCACCCCAGCGGCATGTGCTCCGTTTGCATTGTAAACAAGGCGTCGTTAATATCGCTTATCAGTTTGAGCACACAGCAACATTACACACTAACTAACGTTAAAAAAGTGAAATCGCAAAGAACCACCCCTTTAAGAAGTTTGAAAAGTTTGAGAAGTTTAAAAACGTTTTAAGTTTAATGGTTTGCAGTCTGAAATAGTTTGAAGTTTAAAGTAGTTTTAAAAGCTTAAAGTTTTAATGTTTTAAAGGCAATACAGTCTGAGATGATAGATAGATAGATAGATAGATAGATAGATAGATAGATAGATGCTAAGGACCTCAGAGTGGCTGCTAGGGTATTTTAGGCGGTTGCTAGGGTGTTGCTGTGTGGTTGCTAATGTACCAGGGTCGGTTGCTAGAGTGTTGCTATGTGGTTGCTAAGGTTCCTGGGTATCTTTGAAATCCATTACTTCAAGAACTTTAAAATTTTATGGTTTAAATTATTAGGTTGTCCATATATTTTCAGGCTACAATTAATATGCATTTACATAAGAACCTGAAAATACTGTACAGATTCATTTTTAAAAGTACACTAGATAATATGAGCTTGCATGTATAATAATACACGTTTCAGATTTAGACATATCATGTCAATTACCCAGCAACACAGCTAATCAGAGACATGTCAAACTAGAGTTATGCTATTATTCAACTTCCAATTTTACAAACACAACTTTTCACTGTGGGAATGTAAATGCTTGTTCTTGAATAATTCTCTCAGTGAGGAGCATAGAGAACAAAACCACAGTAAGGCAAAGTTTATTCAAATTCCTGCGCTGTGATAATATTGTACTATGTCGTATGATTCTTGTAATGCAAGAGCTGAGACTATCTGCTCTGAAAACAGCCCAGGAGAGCAGAGCAGAGACCCGTTTATACAGAATAAAGACACATTTACATCCATAATGCTCAAGTCTGCTCTGCAGTTTGTTTGATCCACACATTAACATTAAGCTCACCTGGTCACAGTGGACAGATACGTTACGAGTCGTCTCAGGTCCTCCTGTTTTATTCGGTCATGGTTACTCCTGGCAGGAAAGGTCAGGATGGGGCCACCTCTCTTATCACGACCTCCTGCAAAAAAAAACAAAAAGGAAATCGTTTAACATATGCAATTTTATTATGTGTTTTGGAAGTACAAACTATGAATCACTGTATTATTTATTGTTAAACATAGTAAAAGGACATTCCCAGAAGTCCCTGAGTGACACATTACATATATTTACATTTAAATATATATATATATTTTTTTGTCATCATAAATATACAGAGATGAGATGGAATGAAACATTATAGTTCAATACGTTTGCGTTCTCTCGTTCTCTTCCCCTGAGAAACGTTGCATTCACTTGCAAGACTTTTGCTTTGCTCTGAGAAACTTTGGGTACACTTTTGTGATGGAAATAATATGAGGTGGGAGGAAAAGCAAATGCTATCTGTACCTTTGACAGTAAATTAACATTATATCACTTAATGAAACATACAGTTATAAATTGTGAGTTATACAGGCATCATTATGCCATCCTGTAATACTGAAAAAAATTTCACCATACTTTTTTATGGTTAATTTCTAGCCACCACAACTGCCAGTTTTTACCATAAATTGCATACTATCTCTATTATGGCCTAAATAAGTCTTTGAAGGTAGCATCATGTGTGTTATCTATAGCAAGCGTTACTACATTCCTATTACTATTGCTCATATTTAGGCTTACTAAACTTTTATACCTAACTTTCATTAGAAGCAGTTTTAGGAAATAGTGGGAAAAAAGGGGGGCTAGAGAACAGGATCCATGATAAAATGTGTATGAGAGAAAGGAAGGAAGAAGGCAAAAAACAAGTAGAGATTGTGTTGACAAATCATTACTGACACCCCTAGAGATTCATCCCTCATTTTTCCATAAATAAAGTGTCCTGAACACCTTGATTTTGAGATTGATTTCATTCATACACGTAGGTAAGAGAGAACTCATACAAAGTTCATTATGGCAGTTTCACATCACTAAGCATTCAAATTGTATTGTAGACGGACAGAGAGTGGTTGCATTACAGGCTTGTAATACAGATGGTTGCTGTATCTCACATCTCACAAGATTAACTAGCACACAAATCACTGTGCCTCAAATCCAATATTTTGACTTCTGCATGGCATGCTTGAACAAGCTCACTAAATTCAGCCAGCTGTTAACATGTGAAACAGCCGCAGGTTGAAATCTGTAAAGTTTCGAGAAAACCCCTCCACAGTTAAAGGGGTCATATGATGCGATTTCAAGTTTTCCTCTCTTTGGAGTGCTACAAGCTCTTGGTGCATAAAGAAGATCTGTTAAGTTGCAAAGACTAAAGTCTCAAATCCAAAGAGATATTCTTTATAAAAGTTAAGAGTCAGCCACGCCTACCTAAAACGGCTCGTTCTAACACACCCCCACATGTCTACGTCACGATGTGGAAATATTAGATCAAAAGCACTTTATTTGGCCTTCCGGAAGTAGATGCAATTAGGGATCATTGGTTAAGATTTATTTACAACCCAGATGTTCGAATTTGTGCAACGCATTTCTACACAAAATAATGATCTTTAAAAAAGCATCATATGACCCCTTTAAGAACAGATCATTACAGATCTGGATGTGCTGTAGCTGGATGCACCACCGACACCAGAGCCAAACGAGAAAGGCTCAGTGTCAAACATCAGTCATTTTCAAAATGTGTGAGCAAATAACATTAGGGTGAAATTGTTTTTTGTCACTCACACTCAAAACATCTCACAGATCTCACACTCACCTGATACAAACGCTACTTTTTCTCTCAGCACAGGGAGGACATCAGACGCTTTAATTCCTTCACTTCTGAAAGACCCTGAGAATGAGAAAAAGTGATGTTATTTTCATTGGCAATCTCATCACTCATTACATTTCCACAGTATTAAACACCCTAGTGAAAAAAACATATATACTAAAATGTATTTGAAATACATTTATTTCGTTTAAATGTAGTAGTATACTAGCCTACAAAGACATTTACATGCATGCATTTATGTACTTGATAAAAAAACCTGCAATTGTACTTTTGGCATACTAAACTTGTATATTTAAAGTCTGCTAAATTGCAACAACTAATTTTGTACTTAATGAACTTTAATAGTGTGGAAGTAGTGCTGAAGTCCAATTAAAGATATGCTGAAGTATATTTAAGTGGAACTATACTTCAGGTACACTTTAAATATCTTGTCATTTAAAGACTGATATTATTCAAAGATCATACAATCCTCATCAAACACAGTTTAGGCTTAATATTAAAAATGCGCAATGTGCACAAATAAAAAAAGTCAAATAAAGTTTAAGTAGATTTGTTTATATATCTATCATTAAGTCTCGAGCAATATTTCAGTAAATATGTTAATAGACTTGAACTATACTTAGCATGAAATAAATGTATTACGTTTTTATTAGTGCGGTTTTAAACAGGAAATACACACAAAGTCCACATGGCTATGTCATAAAGGTTGCCTCCCACACGGTTACGGCATAAAAATACTATAACAAAAATATTTTTGGGAAAATACTTTATATTAACCAACTTTCTCTTAATGCAACACAGCGAATGACAACCATTGGTGGCCTCCCAGTGGTTTACATCATGGCCAAATTAGTATTATGTGATTTAGAATAAAACAGGAGAAAACATTAGCAATACATAATCAAAAAAAAAAAAAAAAATCTTGCATTACAATGAAATTGGACAAGCTCAGTGGCGATTTAATACTGCCAGTTATTTATTTATTTGTATTAATTGGAATGCGTGCAGAGGATTGTGGGTGATTGGATGACACCAACGGTATGCTTGATACACCCTTCAAAATATGCACAATTGCAAATGCAAAACGGGATCCTTCAAACTGAGACGGCCTTCGATGGCGGCTGATCATGTCGCAGATGCTTGACCCTACTAGGATGCAACCTTCTGATTGAGAAGCACCCGTATCCTGTAGTATAATATGCATACCGTAGCTTTGATTCTGGATGTTGATTGGTCAATACAGTGTTCCAACCGAGCAAAAATACAAAATATAGTAACGCCTATGATGTGAAACACCAGTTCAATAGCTGTTTTTCACTTAATATAAAGCAATTATAAAATGTACAACAATCAGCGGTAGGGATGTAACGATTCACTCAAGTCACGATTCGATTCGATTCACGATTTTGATTTCACAATTCGATTCGATTCACGATTTTTTTAACAAAATGAGATTTAAGACAAAAAACATAAGACTAAAAATGAGTTTCCACTAGTGGATCTCGTTATGTTGGCACAGATCACACTGCCTCTCATGTGTGGAAATACCATTGACTGCGTACACTCTTAAAAATAAAGGTGCTTCAAAAGGTTCTTCAAGCGATGCAATTGAAGAACCATTTTTGGTTCCACAAAGAACCATTCAGTCAAAGGTTCATTAAAGAAGCATCTCTTTCTTACCTTTTCATAATCTGAAGAACCTTCTTTCGCCACAAAGAACCTTCTGTGAAACAGAAAGGTTCTTCAGATGTTAAAGTTTCTTTATGGAACCATTTAGACAAAAAGGTTCTTCTATGGCATCGTGAAGCACCTTTATTTTTAAGAGTGTATAAACAAAATGATGCTTTGTCTGTGCTCTTACCATTTAAAATTAAGAGGCAACCACTGCATTTTAATCATGATACAAACAAAGATGCTGCATACATGCAACTTGAGCAGTTTTTAATCTAAATTAGATTGTATAATTTCGAAATTTGAAACAAAAACAGAATGATTTGACTTCAGTTTTGTGAAACTATAGCGTTTCCTTAGTTTCCGCTGTAAACAAAGTAGCGCTGCACTTATGACAAGATGAAAAGAAAAAAAATACCATCTAAACTTTTCTAAAGACAGTAAGTTCCCCTCAGACATACATTCATATAAACTCCTACCCCTAATTGAATTGCGATTTGTTTAGCATCTCAACCGATTTGAATCGTCACATTTTGAATCGATTTTCAACCGGCTCACGGTTAATCATTACATCCCTAATCAGTGGTCTTTTTTCCCTCTAAGGGGTTTTGGGAGACATGCCTGAAACATATAAGTTGATACTTAAGATCAGGATATCATAAAGATAACTGAGACCTCCATTAGGTCTTCTGGGCTATGAAAACACAACCCAGAGCAATAAAAGGTTCCACTGGGTCTACAGTAAACTCCTTCATACGTACATCTTCCTTCCAGTCCACATCTGTCTCCTTATCTCCATTCATCATGACCAAACCCCTCTCTCTCTTTCAGTCTGGACTTTTTAATCTTACTATCATAAAGCAGCAGAGTCCTCAGAGAGAGATGATAAGAGCCATCATAAACACTCAGGATGAAGCCATCTGAAGCGAGGTGTCTCCTCAGTACTACACTCCTCCCTGAGGACTCTCTGCTTCACAGGAGCGGATCAATGCTGCTGATTCTTCACATTAAAGACGCGCTGGCGACTCTGCTAATGAACGACTACATTACAGAGGTTCAGAGAAGAGCATGATAATGTAAGAGCTGCTTCAGCAGTCCGGCTGATTATGCATCAGATTGAAGGCAGATGTAGTTCAGCAGATGATTAGAAACATCCTAACATGGATAATTAAGCGCTTGCTACAGCTAGTATTAGTATAATTAATGGTGAGTAACATTCACATTTGAAACAGGCTCATCGGAAACACATTCATCTACCTCTAATTTTTACAAAAACATGTCTATCACTGCAGTTTCAAAACTGAAATGAATACTAGTGGCAGTAAAACACACAAAAATATGATTACAAAGCTTACTATCATAAAGCAGCAGAGTCCTCAGAGAGAGATGATAAGAGCCATCATAAACACTCAGGATGAAGCCATCTGAAGCGAGGTGTCTCCTCAGTACTACACTCCTCCCTGAGGACTCTCTGCTTCACAGGAGCGGATCAATGCTGCTGATTCTTCACATTAAAGACGCGCTGGCGACTCTGCTAATGAACGACTACATTACAGAGGTTCAGAGAAGAGCATGATAATGTAAGAGCTGCTTCAGCAGTCCGGCTGATTATGCATCAGATTGAAGGCAGATGTAGTTCAGCAGATGATTAGAAACATCCTAACATGGATAATTAAGCGCTTGCTACAGCTAGTATTAGTATAATTAATGGTGAGTAACATTCACATTTGAAACAGGCTCATCGGAAACACATTCATCTACCTCTAATTTTTAAAAAAACATGTCTATCACTGCAGTTTCAAAACTGAATACTAGTGGCAGTAAAACACACAAAAATATGATTACAAAGCCAGGTTATTGATTAATATAGACTTATTTCTATACAGTTCTTTGCACAATACTATGTTATTATGACCTTTACTGTAGTGCATTATTTGCAAACTAAAACATATTGTATTGACATCTGCATCACATATCCAGCTGGATAAGTGTTGCTTTTCTGACTTAGTAAACTTGCTTGGAACCTCACCAATGTGGAGTGCTCAGGTTCGAATGACAGTAAAATAATTTAAAGACTTGTAGAAGCAAGCTAAAACAGCATGGTTGCTTCAGCAAATGCATTTTTATCTTAAATTTGCTTTTGTTAACAATTAGGTTAGTTTATGTTATTTTCAAATCCAAATGACTATTAACCTTTTAGCACAATTCACTGGCCATTAAATTTCCTAATTGCCACGATACGTAGATCAACAACCACAATAATGAAATGTTGCTGCATTGATCTGTTTCAGAGAAATGCCAATGGACGTTTCACTTCGAAAGTGCCGCAAAATGTGCAAGAAGCAATGTAATATAATTGTGGCACTGTTTCTGATCTGTTTTACCAGAAGGAAAAAGCCTGTAAAAGGCCTTCTCTCAGTTTTTTAGACTAATAGACATAGTCTTAAAACCACAAAACCCCAATTTTCACTTAATGGTCTCTTTGACATCTCCTTCTTCGCTCGTTATTTGGCCAGATGCTTAAATTGAAAACATTTTCACACAAAAAAAAAAAAAAAAGCGAAATTTTTATTTACCTTAATATTTAAAATGTACGTGACAGTTACAGTTTGAAACGTTTACTTTGCTGCATACTGCTTCATACACTACCTTAACACTACTTTAGTACATGGTTCCTAACTGCTTAAAAATGCTTGTTAAATATGGTGGGAGTCATTACGAAAGAAATCTGTACTCGCTCTACTTCTAATAACAGGGTGAGTGGTGTTTGAGAGGTGGGATGAAAGAGTAAATGAGAAAATGAGGAGAAACACAGGAGGCAGAGTGAGGGATGGACTGAGAGATGAGGAGCTGTAATGGGGCAGAAATGAGGGATTGGATTACAGAAAGACTAAAGCTCAGCCCCATTAAAATGAGAGACAGCATCAGATCAAAGAGCGGCCCGTCTGTCTGCGCTCAGCTCACTCAAATACCTGCATTAGTGCTCAAACGGTCTGTCCTCCTTGAGGACGACTGGAGAATTTATGAAGGCTGGAGGGGAAGTGCACTTTCCTGTACCTCTCGCTCTGTCTCTCTAGATATCCAGAGCATTGATATTTCATCAATCGAGCCCCGTTTTCACAGCACCTCATTAGTATGAATGTTTCAACGAACATCAATAGCCTCTTTTGTGTGTTTCTTCTCACTTGCTCTTTCGCGTTTCTCACCTCATTCTAAAGTGTTAATGAAGCAGTTTGCCACATATACTGTATTCATTTTCTGTTCTATAGAGTATGTACAAGTCTAACATAACTTAAAGTCCCCATGAAATCAAAATTAAAGTTTTTTGGGTGTTAGTATCAATATGTTAGTCTTAAGGTTATCTATAAGGCAGTGTGCTCCAAAACAGT